AGGTTACTTGGAATCGAACACGTGCCTCTGAAAACTTATTCATAATCGAAGATATTTCTGGAAAATCAGTAAAAACAAGAAACGTCATTGGGCAATTGTAAAGCAAATAGAAGCTAACATTAGTGTATGCTATGCTTTTCGGGGTTTTTTCAGAAAGCGTGTAGTTCGCCTTCTAGACCAATAGAGCAATAGATATATCAAAACTAGACCAATAGAATATCAAAACTTAGAATGTCAGAAAATTCATCAGAAAAACAAAAGACTTTACTAGGTCGTATATTGACAACTATATGTTGTGGCCGTAACTGAACTGCTTCTTCCTCACTTGCTGCATCACCAGCATTACTTAATTCAACATTCTAAAACAAAAGAGAAATTTGCAGTATGTAAACACAGCAAAAGTGATATACTTATTCTAGTTATCAGTTGATCAGTACTTGGATAACAGATATACTGATACAAATCCTTGTTCAAACCATCCCCCAGCTCTTGCCTCTATTACATGTCTGAGGATGATCCTCTATTTATCAAAAATAATCCGAACAATGTTTAATGACCTTTGATAATTAAACAAACCTCAGTTGTTTTCAATGTTGTTTTGGGATTTTCAATTTCAAATTCGGGACAACCATGCTCAATAAGTCGCTCCCAACTATCACACCGTGGATGTTGGTTTTCGTTGTCGAAATCCTAGGAAAAAAAATTAACGTCCTTATTTTTTTAAGAAAAAATCGCTGTAATTTGCATAAGAAATAACTCTCAATGATCTGATATTATAATATGTCATATCATAACTTAGACTGATTAGTAACACGATAAACCAAAACATACTGCTTTACTACACCAGGAGCATGTATCGTGGAACTGAATGCATGCACTACATGTGTAATTTTCACGAGGTAAAGAATAGCATGGGAAATCTTTCTTTGATTCGATCACTTCCGATGTTACTGCAATAAAAGTTGAGCATATTAAAATCAAAGCGAACATATTTTAAACAATGAGCGCAGTACAAGACTGCAAGCAACATATGCATGCCTAATTCATCATATTTAATCCATTTCAATTCAAAGATAATAATATAGTTCAGAATGTTGGTAAACTTGACATGTTTCCTAAAAAAGCGACAAAATATGCGAAACAATTGTTTTATATGTAATGCTAATGAAGTTAAGAGATAATGCAATAAGATATTATTTTCAAATTCAAATTCTCCACAAATTGAAATTACCAAAAATGTTTTATCGTTTTTTAGGCAACATTTCCAATATTAATGCACATTTAATTTTTTTTAAATAATATGGATTCAAATCCTTCTTAGAGACCAACAAGTTTTTGAGTAACAATTTCCTCGAACAATTAAATTATAAAGGAGATAAAAAGAAATAATGAGCAATACCATCATCAGTAGAAAATTCTTGCGCCACAGCAACGATGAAAATCGTTGTTGAGAGGCATATTACATGATACCGTCCAAGCCTCGTCAACAAACGATCTCTCATCTTGGCCAAAATAGCGCTAGCTGCAATAAATATTTCAGATATGAATCACATAATTAGCAAGAATGTCATCGTTTGACGAAAAGCAAAGATCGCAATTTGTTTCAAATGAGTCACACAAGAGAAAAAAAAATTCCAACATAATTAAAATATTAAAAAAGAGTCTTATTTGAATTAAGTGTTAATTGCGGTAACATAAAATAACATTTCGAGAAGTGAATTTGTGTTTTGCAAAAAGTATTTAAAAAGTGGTAGAAGTGGTAAAAATCGAAACCACAATTTTCAACAAAAAGTTCGGGATTTTTGGAGAAGCATTTGAATATGAACAAAAAGATAAACATATTTGCATCTCCCAGAATGTTAAGAGAGCAAAGACGAAATTTTATTCCCTTCAATACATCGCCCTTAAGTAATTTGATTTTTATACACTTCACCTAGAAAGCAGTATGTTACATTTTTTTCCTTAACTTAGTACAAACACGTCAAGTTTTATCAAAGATAACGTATAAGTACGTCAAACGAGTCGAATCTTTATAGTTTCATTTCATACATTTTGAATTTATATGATCCAATTAATATCTTTAAATGCTTCATTGACAAAAGAGATGATAGCTAATGAGCGGAATAACAACTGAGCTAGTAAACTAATTTTGGAATAAGATTTGTTGATAAAACTTATCGGCTGATAAGTGATTAACTCATTGGCTACAATCTATAAAAGAATTAACTCAGTGACTATAATCTATAAAAATAAAAGGAAAGAATAAGAGAATCGTACACTAAAATTCAAAATTCATAAAGCTTTCAGTAAAAAGAATGAAGAAGTAAAATTATTTAAAATGAATTTAAGTTTTGAATTAAACTGTTTAAAGAAAAGAAGGGAATATGATCAATGCCATTAGGAATGCTTTCATTGATCATTTAAGCAATTTTGTTCGGAATCTAATAGAAACTCACTGGTATGTAAGAACGATCGTGAAATTTTCGAGAAATTTCAACACTTCAATTATTATGGGTAAAATACTACAAACAGCGCAACTGATATCCAGGATGAACAGCAGTATTATCGCCCTTTTAATATTAAAAAAACTCAAAAATTCCTTGAATTTTTTTCCTAGCAGTTCTTTAAAAGAATAGCTAGTATAAAAAGAATTCAAGTTTGCAGTTCCGGATAACGAAATCTAAGAGATGTAGCTGCCCTAGTACGAATAGGAGAGAAACACAAAATTTCATGGCGATGATTCATCAGGTGGTAATTATACTGGAATTTATTCGTGTTTTCGCATTTAATAGACACAAGTGTTAAGACTATTTGACAGTTTTTAACCGAATCGGAAATTAAGAAATCCGAACATTCCTAATGATATGTTGAAAATTTCGCACAAGTAAGAACAAATTATAAGTTTGATCGAGTGATTTAGAATCATACAGCCTCACGCGACTAATGACATAAACATATCATTCGCCCGAATTTGCTATAGTTGGATAAATTCTTGCACGACAACTGTTTTTTCTATCTTCATAGTTTCATGCATACTAACAATTTCATTCATTCATTTAATTAGAATCAAGACTAACATAACCAAATAATACACTGAAATAATGCAATTGGGTCAAGGGTCAGTTACCTTAAGAATTGCTATTATTATAATGAAAAGAAAAATAAAGACCAATGAAAGTGGAGAGAAAGACAGTTGGTTCTCGCGGCCCTTCGATCAGGACCACAGGAAGAAGTATCACCGAATCGTTGTATGTATGTATGTATGTATGTCTGTCGATCCACCACTTTGTTCGACCATTCTCGCTTTCGTCGAAAATTGAAGTAAAAAGATGGATGAGAAGATCAGTTGTATTCTTTGGATCGCTGTAGTTGATGTGGGTGGAAGCTATAATTGCTCCTCCAACTTCTTGCTCGATGTTCCCTCTGGTAGCATAGTATGTAGACCCCTACATCACCAGCACACGCATGCATACACATATACATCCATTTGCATTTACAGCACCATTAGTTGAAAACTACATAAAAAGCAAATAAGTGTTAAACATCTGTAGAAATTGTGGAGAGGGAAAACAGAACGGCACAGAGGTATCACCACATCAACAATCGGCTATTATATAGGTACTTTACATGCGGTTCATAAGTAACAAATCACCATTATAGAAGATAAGGAAATGTAGAAAACACTGCAGTGTGCAGTTCGTCTAGAAATAGCACTGCTGATATGACATCTTTGTCGAAATCCGACCGATGGATTCTGCCAAGATTTCACGGGTCCATCCCTGATCCATCATTCCCTCTTTCTCGATCAATAACAATCTAACACTGAACTTCATACAGCTAACTCTCCGAAGCATACCATTAAATCCATCATACATATCAATTCCAAATTTGTTATTAATCACACTATTATCACTTTACTCTTGCATCCCTATAATATCATAATAAGTCCATATACTGACATGATTGGTCCGTTATAAACGCATAATTCGTAATAGCGGCAATAATACTGTATGAATGCGTCACAAGAAATTTTATTGCATATTGTGCGTTGTTCAATTCTTTAATCATACTAATTAATACATGGCAAGAGAAAAAAACAAAATAATCGCTTTCCATTCATTCGATTAAATTGTAATGGAAAAGAAAAAATTTTTCTGCATACACAATTTGCAATAAATATTCAGCACTGTAGGAAAACTCCTTACAAAAAATAGTTCCTGAAAATGAACTGTTAATTTTTAAATTGGCAGAAGAGAGCCGTTGAATGAATATCCCGTGCTTGGAATGATTAGATAGATTCGGTAGTCTTACATAAGACCGATCATTATCAGAATTTTTGAATAATGAGCAATTCAAGAATTTCAGAGTGAAAAAAAAGACTGACATGGTAAGTAATGCAAAATGAACTATCGATGGAAGATACAGGAAGAGAATTCTGATAATGAAGTGATGTTAGACTTCCTTAGCCATAGAGCCGGGAACAACAATATGAGACCAATGTCCAGCTGACAAATAAATCACTGACGACAAAAATAGACAAAAAAGAATAAGATACAATTGCATTTACCATTACTGTGGATGAACTGACAATTCTTATCCGAAAATTACTAAACCAATAAAGATCTGCATGGACATTAGAAGGCAACAGCTTATTGATAAATGAGGCAGACGAACTGCATTTTATGCAGATTAGAATTGGAAAATTTCTTTTTTACATAGCAAGAACAGAAAATAAGCAGACACAGTAAAAATGTAAATAGAAATTACTGAGATCAGTTTCTGAAAAGCATTCTCATTAGAAACTTCCGACTTTACAAAAAGGAAAATATCACAATTTCACAGAAAAGAATCAACAATTATATAAAATTTTACAGGAAAAATTAACTTAAATAGGAGTGAAGATAAATTTTATGAGTACAAGCGTAGTCAAGTGTTGATTTGAACTAGTGGTTACAATCATAATTACCATAGGATGGGTAGGACATGAAAGATAAATGCCTTTATGAAATATCTGTGTTGGATGGTTGCATTCCAGCTATAGCATTACCAACTGAAGTTATACTTCCACTCCCACCTGGTGGTTGCGATGTTACATAGCGCTGCTGAACACTGGCTTGACTTGAAAGAGTTATCGGCGGTAGGTATTGTGTTTGCTGGGCTGGAATGCTCACCGGATGGTCTAAAATATGTAAATTTTGTTTGTCAAGATAGTCAGATCGGAAGTGTAAGTGCAGGAAAATTATCAACTTCAACTACATTACAGATGCCATTCAAATGACGGTTAAATCTAATTCCACTGATTAACCCTCATTCTCAACTTGAATGAAGTAAAAATGTGAAATTACCTTGTAATATAGTGGAAGCCGAACTGCCAACACCTTGCACCGCGACAGTTACCTGTCTGGCACTTGATGAAGTATTCGAAATAGATTGCCGTGAGATTCCACCTAAATAAATATTTATAACATCGAAAGAAGAACAATACGGCAATAATAAAACAGATTTTATAAGAAATAGATGAGAATTCTTCTCCTCTTACTTCCACATACGAGCTTAAGATCCAAATATATCTCCAAAACCAGATCCAAAACATTTTCATGTTTCGGAAATAAAGCTCTTAATCATAATAAATATAAAAAATTAAACACGATATATCCAAAAAAAATAGCGAAAATAATGAAAATCGAAAAAGGCATACTCATTTTGAAACTATATTCACCATTAACACTAATTATATTTAAGCGCAACAACAAGATGGAAAAGTTGTGCACTCACCAGTAGACGGTAACTGCTTGCTTGTTGCAGAACCAGTGGCATTTTCACTATTTCTCGAACCACTCATAACTAATCCAATTGACGGAACTCGAGAGCTCTGATAACCAATGTTGCGTCTTCAATTACAAACGATTAATCTTTTTTTGTAATATTTGATATTTTCAATTCGCTACAGAAATATTTACAGAATAAGATAATTTTGATTTATAATATTGGATTAAATTTAAGGGACTGGTGCAGAATTTAAATCTCAGATTTTCCTTTTCCCCAATGCAAATGATCTTCTTAGCCATCAATAGCTAAGCGATGATAATCCAAAAAACGAGTCAATTTTGGAAATTCAATGGAAATTTTGTTACAAACTTACGGTACTGTTCGTATCTGTTGCACGGGACCCCCACGTGGTAACATCATAGCAACCTGCAGAAACAAGTGCAATTTATTTTATAACTTTATCTCAATGACATTCGATTTTTAACTGCTTTTGCTATATTTAGGACAATGATTCAACGATGACAGCGCTTATCGATATTTGGATTTGAGCATGCCGATTCAAATTTCATAAATTCAAACTTCAACTGTAATTAATAATTTACAATAAAGCACCTGCGACTGTCCACCAATTGTTTTCGTATGTATTGTTCCTGCCGTACGTTTTGGCGTAATTCGCTGTCCACCAGGCATCATTCGCACCTGTGACTGGGGCATCAAATAAGTTCTATCGCCAGCAGCTGTTGTGACATATAGACGACCCTTTATAAAGAAAATTTTTATTTTTCAAACCAATATTTATGTAAGTAATGTAAACTTCAAGTAAAAGCTCTAATATTTCAGAAAATTCCTAAAGTGCATAATATAATAAGAAATTGATAAAAATCAATTTCAAAAAATTTTATTGCTATACGTCACTAAAAAAGTAGCTCAAATTTAGAGAGGAAATTATTCACTTCCATATACGCATGAAATATTGAAATAAGCGAAAACTTCACTAATACTAAATAATAAGTAACCGGTGTACGCTGATTTATTTTAGATCGTGTATCTTGTCGCATAGATATTCCACCAGTTTGGATTTGCGGTCGAATCATTTGTATTTGACTCGCTTCGCCTAGCTGTGAAGTATCTCCTTGAGACATAATTAGCGTCCGTCCTCCATGCGACGTAGTTGCATATATCTGTTGTTGTGCTTCCGGAGATGTTCCATATCCGGCCGCAATCTGGAACATTTTTTGCTGAAAAGAAATTCATTTTAAAAGAAAAACATGGGATAAATTAAATGCTAATTCAATACTAGAATTTATCATCCAAAAATCATCGAAAAATAGAATTCCGTTTTTCCTCCGCTTTTTTTTCAACGATTAAATGCAAAGTTACTGATGCAAAATGCAAGTGCAAAAAAGCAGGACAAGTCGTCAAAGTAGATCATCAAACAAGGCCATTTCAACAAAGATTAAAGGTCAAATGAAGACTGTTTCGAAATTATTTGTCATAGATATTTGCTAACCCTTTGCGCAGCAGGTGCAGAAAGTCCTTTTTTTGTTCCTGCTGACGGTATTGTTCGATAAACGGTCTGGCGCTCACCCACACCTTCTTGTCGCGTTGTGTACTGAAAGCGACTACCAAGCTGCTGTCCAGACAGCTAAAAACCGAAGCAAAAATATTTCTACATCGGGATCTTCCTATTAATGTAGAAGAAAACACAATTACAAAATTAAATAATATTTTGATTATAGAAAAAGATACTCCAGAAATAAATGTTATCTTACAGTATCTTGAGAATTAACAACAACAGCATAGGGTTGTTGCCCACCAGATGATCCTATCTGTGTACCTCCTGTCATGATGATCTGATGCTGAGTTGAAGTTCCTGAACCAACCGAAATTGCAACACGTCGAGTACTGATCTGGTGAGCACCAGGTGCAGCACCGGATACAGCCTGGAATTTCGGAAACTGAAAATTTCAATTTCTCAGTTCATAGTATTGGGAAGCAAATAAAACGAAGAGTTAATTATGAAAAACAAAATCTTCATTAAATTGATACTATAACTGCCCTTCTGTTTAGAATATAAAAATTTATCACCCAGTGATACCACTACAAATCCAACTTCATTCTAGATAATGGGGATGGATAATACCGGGCACCATTATCGTTTACTCCTCTGTTCTCTTTTTAAAT